ATACTTCATCTGCCGCCAATGTCACTGCGGTAGAAACTAATCCGTCCGGCACAACCAGTGAACCTGCTCCAGTTACCAATTGCTATCAAATGTTTTTAAACATAAGAAAACAAGTAAATTGGTTGAATAATAATATATTTCATTGCTATTTTATTTTGAAATATTATTAATTATTATTGATAATATTTAATTTTTTTTAGATTGATAAGAGACGTAAGAATTTGTTTCCTGTGCAACCGAAACCACCATCTGGATTTAAGGATTATCTTATGAACAGGTGTACATATGTTTTGGCTGGTAACTCTAATAGCCGTGTTGTAAATACACAAACTCCATCGCCAGCCAATTTACACGAGCAGTTAAAAAAACTGTTTGTTGAACAAGAGAAGGAGAGACAAAGACTTCGTGTACAGGTTTGTTTTCAATTGACCTTTTATAAAAAAAAAAAATGTATAATATAAAGACATGACTACCATAATTTTGTATTTCTTTTAGCACATAGTAGAAAAAGAAAAATTGGTGTTGAGTGTTGAACAAGAGATACTCAGGGTTCATGGACGGGCAGCTCGTGCATTAGCTAATCAGCTTTTACCATTTTCTGTATGTACTATACTCAAGGACGATGAAGTATATAACATTATGACACCTGAGCAAGAAGAAGAAAAAGATAGACATGCACGATCCCGTTACAACGGTCGTCTTTTTTTGTCATGGATACAAGATGTAGATGATAAATGGGAAAAGATTAAGGTAATAATTTCATAAATTATAATATCTATGAAAAATATTTTTTTAATATTTTATGATCACTAAAGGAATCAATGTTACTGAGACATCACAATGAGGCAGAGAGTTTACATGCTGTACAGAAAATGGACTGGGGATGGAAGTTGAAAGAATTACAGTTATGTACCTATAGCTCTGAACCCAATATCGATGAAGAGCATGTGCCGATGGTTCTAGTCAGTGACGATTTCGATCTCTTGCCTGCCTAACCTAGCTTTGTTATTTATTAACATATCGGTACAGTGTCAACTATAAAGTGATGTTCGTTTATTTGACTAAGCTAAGGTTGATATTATTATTGTTATGGATAAAAATAAATATTTTACTTGACAACTTCCAAATGTTTGTCACTCTCGTGCCATTTTATCAATAATATATTAATAACAATATTGTGTGTTTGGCCAAACATTGTTACTTTCATCCTTTTAATATAAATTTATAATTTCTTGACAGATACTTTTATGGTGATAATAAATGTTTTCTCAAACCAATTGTTTACTTTTTTATATCAGATTACTATTTCCATCAAACACTTATTGTTTCCTAATTTTTCTCATCTTAATATGTTAGTTTTTGAATTTGTATAGACTTGATTTTAGATGTAAATCTAAATCCTAAAATATATTTTAATAAGCACAATGCTTAGATGAGCAACTCAAATAATGCAAATAATGCATCACAAATATAATGAGGGCACCTCTAAAACCTTGTCTTATGTATAAATACCCAAAAATGAACACCTATCTGATAGGTATTTTATTTGAAATAGGTATTGTAATGATTAGGCATCGGATTTAAATGCCCTTTCATAAAATTGATTTATTACCTAAAAACTAAATCTCCAGATTTCTTCAGAAATCAAGATAAATTTGTGAATTGTTTTGTTTAAAAACCAGATTACCTTATGTTGTTTCAATACAATATGTGTATTTACTACATATATAATTTTTTTTCGTGACATTACTAGAAATAGGGTGAAGATGACTTAAAAACGTTTAAATTACACTTGAATATCGAAAACCTCAATAAATGTAAAAAAAATGTATGTTGTGAGCATAGCGTGTACTTTTTTTTATTATTTAAAAAAATATTTACAATCTATATTAATAGTAACATAAATTAACAAATTATATGAATTAGAATATGAGAGGGGAGACAAACCTATTGGTAGCGCCTCTGAAGTGTGTACTTGAAACACATTTGTATCTTAGAAAGCGTCGTGCCAAGCATACCATTCAATCAATTCAAGTACTAGTAATGATGTAAGACTATACAACTGTGCATTTACAATTAATTTATGTATCTTATCAATTACCTACCAATATAATTTATGTTTTCGTGTATTTCAAAGTTTATTTTACCAAAAACAAGACGACAGACATCCACTTTTTAACTGGTATGATATAGTCAATATAGTTCAATTTTATATAAAAAGGAAATTTAGGAGGATGCCACACTACTATTAATCCATGAAAATGGTTTTGCGCAGAAATAACAGAAACAGTGTTAAGTGAGTAGCCTTGCCTAATAAAAATAAGAAATGTGTGTTTCAATATTTGTCGTTGTCATAGAGCTTAATTTTTTTTTCAACTTAAAGAAAATCTAAATTATTCATTTGACAGATCTATTTTTTTTTTTTGATTTGTTAATTAAAAACTAAAAAGTATTAATATCAAAAAATAAAAACGCTTGACCGAGATAAAGTTCTTCTATGTAGTTTACTAGTATAACCATTTAGTAAATCTACTATAAATAATGATATATCCACTCCAGCACCTCAAATTCTAAATTATGTACCCTCAAATTTGTCTAGCACAAAATCGTTATTTTATCGTATAATCTTATTATTATACAACAAGTAACAACCATTATTGGTACTGATATGGGACCACTTTTAAAATACTTTAATTAGTATTTAAATATGCTTATGATTAAACATTTTAATTTTTCTCCGAAATGTAATTTTAGTTGCCTATATTAAACTCCTTAGAAATTTAATAGCAGGTGAGTGGAGTCCTTTTTATGTAACATACAAGATACAACTATACAAGTGGTTCATGTGAGTGTGTGTCTGTATCCTACAGTATTAATAGACAGATAATTGCTTGTGACGGTGGGCCTATAGATTTTTTCTCAAAAACGGCTGCAAGGATTTCGTCAGAATTTCGTAACTAGGGGATTTTGATGCAAAAGATTAATCGATGAAGGTGGATTAAATAATAGGTACATATAATATTTTTAAGCTACAGTAACATAACTAAGATCTTCATTACTCATTTAAATATCTAATTTCACCCAAATTTGAACTTAAAATAGCAATAAAACTATGTTTATGCATTTTTGCAGATTTTTTTTAACAGTATGAAATGAAACAAGGTTAAGTTATTTACAAAACTGCTATATTATCAAAACTATTATTTAAATATAATTCATATAATTTATATTACATATAATAGATGAAACAAAAATATGTGTTAATGTAAAAACGGAACAGACATACAGCAATATAGTTGCCAGAATATGGTCCATGCATCGGAGTATCGGACCGGACGATCTGCAGACTGTAGTTAAGTCCCAAATTATATAAAACTTATAAAAAGTATATAAAAACTTAATACAGTTAAACCCTATCTATTTATATACGAAATTGTGAAAAATATTCACGACTGACGAAACGGAACGGGATTCCAAAGTCATAATTTTCCATAATTTATTATTTACATAGTGAATGATAGTAATTACAGTCTAGCTATTTGTACAAATGTGTTGTAATATTTTGTTTGTTGACCTTTTGAAACCTAAATGTTATACGTGATAAAATACTCATCTCTATTATAATATTAAATCTTTAATAACAGTACTACATCAGCAAACAATTTATTGTCCATAAGATGAGTCTTAATAGAATCCACCCTGGAGTACTAAATGTGTTTAGTAAAAACTTAGTTCATAGTTGTTCAATATTTTCTTGACCATCAATAAACTGTTTTAAATTGTTGTTGTGTTTCGTATCTGACATCTGTTATTATTATTTTTTCTTTTTTAAACTGTAAAGACAACAATTGATTTTAACACCATTTTCATAAAGGTAAGAAATATTGACTTTATTTAGGTAATACATTTTGTCCGGTTTTTTTTGTTAGATATAATAGTTATGGGGGGACGAGGTGATCGAGTGGTCTGACGCGTTCGCTGCGACGCAGCCGGTCGCGGTTCGATCCTCGGCCGCCGGGCGGCATTTTTCTCCGGACAAGTCGCGGTGACCGGAGAACAAGTGCCGCCATCCCCCAACCGGGCATGGCAGAAACTGAGAAACCACGATTTAAGATAGTCTATCTTAAATCGTGTGAGAAACCTACGGGTGCCCAAAAGAAATTCTGCCAAAACAAAAACACACACGTGTTCCCCCCCCTACAGTCCCAAACCTTACAGTACCACACAACCTACAGCTAATGGCCTCAGTTGCCGAAGCTTAAATCAAAAAAAAAAAAATAATAATTATGGTTTGTTTTGTAAAAAAATTAATTTTCTCTTAAATATTTTTTTTGTATCACAATGCAGGGATATCGTTCATTCTTTTCGGGTAGGTATTTAAATGTTATACTATTTTAATGTTATACTATTTTAATGTTATTAATTGTACGTGTATTGAACAGTAAAAATAAATTCTACTGTAAATTTTGCCTAATTCCCTACACTGAAGTAAAAACGATGACATTTATAGAACTCGAAGATCAGGTCTTGTCAAAATTTGAACTTAAATTGCTCATAATATGGACTATGGATATAGCAGTGTTTGCAACACTCACCAAAAAAATGAATTCGTTCATGTTCATATTTTTTCAAATGAACACATTCACATTAAAATCCATTGAAAAAAATAAAATTAAAATTAAGGTGGTTAATTTAATATAATTTTTAATTTTTTATAATAGGAATTATAATAAGGAAATATTATTACAAATCAATGAATTTTGAACTATTATATTCATTAAATGGCAAATAAATTGAGTCTTAGAAATCGTTCAAATTCATTAAAATATAAACGACGTTCACGTTCAATTTGAAAAAAAAAGTGACGTTCGCATATCGTTTATTACATATGAAAGTGAACTCGTGAACGTACGTTCTTTCCAAATACTGATATAGTAAATATAAAAATAGTAATAAAATAGTATATATATTTTTTTAGAGAAACAGATTGGTAGTATACACTCGTATATTTTATATTGTGGACACAATGGATGATGATTTCGTCTCGTGTTTTTTTGCTTATAGTTATATTCTGTTTAATTACACCGGAATTGGCCGGGATATTTGATTTTTATTAACGGTTACACTGGTCTCGAAAATTATTCACAGCGTCAGCGTCTGTGATCTGTGGTTCTCGCCTCGCGACCCGCCAGACGGTGCATTTGTCATTTATTTGTAATTTCTAATTAATACATTTTTTAATATAATCATAATATATATCTATGATGTACCATGTTCACATATAATCATGAACTCTAATGAGTAATGCTCATGGATATAATAAATAATAACTAATGTTGTTATCAAAGACCGTGTTAATGAATATTATTGTTGAGTGTTGACTTTTATTGAATGCTGAATTGCTGACTATTTTTATTTTTCAATATTCGTCTTGCACGACAAACCACAAACGCGGCATCGTCTTTGTATCAGTTCTTTCGGCCATTCTAGATTTCTTATTTTTTTAAGTAGTAATTTTCCCAACACCAGCGATACAGTTTAACATATTAATATTTGTCGTGGTAACTGGAAGTCCACTACAAATTACATCAGTACGTTGGTATCTGTATACTATGTGCTTATATCAGATAAATATTATATTTAGCTCGAAAACGGTTTTACTTACTCGATTTGTGGGTAAATCCTTACAATTCCATGGTATCTTCAAGGTTATATACCACCGATTAATATAGTGATATTAAATTAATCCGTGTCACATACTAAAATAGGATCCATTATTTGGATTTTGGACAATAGTAGTATTACTAGTATCAGTAGAGTACGTTATTAATTTAATATTTTAATCTGTCATCGCTCTACCCGTCGGTGTTGCGAATTGCGATCGATTCGTTTCGATCTCGTCGAGCTACAGATCATCGATCACGACTCGTAAGAAGTAGGTACGTTATTATTTGTGAAATATTATATTCTAAAATATTATTATGTTCGTCGTTTAATATTTCGATCGTTCGGTTTCGGTATTGTTTGACTGCGGTTTTGTACTGAAGTCCTATACAAAGGTGTTACCTACAGTGTTTATAATTTTATATCTTTTAGTTGAAAGGTGTGTATCGTACAATATGACGGACTTGCGGTCTGCCATGGCTAAACTATCCACCGGAAGTACAACTTCTGCACGTTCTTCGACAGTTACCAAGCCGTATGAAATGTTTATGAAATGGTGTTCAGAAAACAACTTGAAACCGCAGTACAAAATAACTGGTATTCTAAAACACAATTATATTATTATTATGGTATAGGTAATAGGTACCCACTATTATTAATATTTTTAGTAAGTACAATGTTTAATACTTATTAATTATTAATTAATATATAATATAGATGGTCCAATGGTTGGTAAGCGGATAGATTGGTACAGTTAAACTTCTGTTAATGACCAACTGTAAATAACTGTAACTATTTTTGGTCTTGCCAAGAACAGGTGTTACCTATAAAAAAATGCACTGAAAAACCAGATCTAATTAGTAGTAATTACTTCTGGTCTCTACTCTCTTCGATGACTTGTACAGAAGTTTCACTGTATGATAAGTGGGTACCTGCCTACCGATTGTAAATAAAACCAATTTCATCAATATTCAATACACTTAAGTGCTAAACTCTAATTAGTAGGTATATAGGTACCTACTATCATTGATTAATCAGCTTAATATTATCATGTACTTATATTGTATTATTTTATATATTATATAACATACTTAATATAATATTATAATCAATGCTACTATGTTAAAATTTTAAAACATGATGCTTTGATACTTATTGGCTATGTGAATTTTTGAAAACAATTTTTTATTAATTTCTTAAAATTGTTTGAATTATAAAAAAGTAATATTTCAGCATGTACAGAGTGATTCTTTTAGTATAAGTGATAGAAAAAAGCAACAAAAAATAAAATAATAAAAAAGCAATAAATTAATTTTTTAAATAATACAATTTAAAAACATTTGTAAGTTCATTTAATGAAATACAATGTAAATATTTTTACTTTATCATCTTTTGGTAGAGTTCACACTCCTAGTAGACCTATTATTGAAAAAATGTAGGTATATACCTACTATGTGTTCAATATTTTGTGGTTTAGCCCTTCTCCCCCCAAATATTTCTGCTTGAAAACTGCCACCTCTTTTTACACGTGTACACAATGAACACAAGGATACTTTATTTATTTTTTATTGCTTTAACTAATTTGTAACTTATGATTTCATTATTAAATAAAGTAAGGAAATGGATAATATCTAAAAAATTAACAAGTATGATTAGGTATTTCAATGAGTTTACTTTTAAAATATCTGACACTTAATAGCTAAGCTCCCTGTGAAGTAATTTACTTTTACTTGTCAATTCTTCGATAACTTCATTAGAATTATTAGGTGTTATTAATTAATAATGTATTATTGGTAAACATAAATATTAAAGTTTTTAACCCAAAAATTGTTTTAAAAAAGTTGTTTTTGTCGTAAAATATTAATAGTACTCATTAGACAATATCCCCAATTTTGCAATATGCAAATTTATACCTAGATATATTATATTAAATTATAATTGCAGTGTAAAATTTTCAAATCTATGTATTAATATTGTAACTTCTAAATATTAAGGAATAAAAAAGGTATTATTAGATTTATAATAAAATTAATTTCTGTTATAAGGTATTTAAAGTTTTTACTGTTTTTTCTTCCACTGTTTTTTTATTTTTTAAATTTGCTTATGATAAACTTCAATGCAATGATTTATAGCTGTGTTTTTGAACAATTATATATTCTATTAATATTTTAGTTTCAAATTGTTATGTAAGATAATTGTTTGTTCAACTATTGAATATCTGTTGGTTTATTAGATATTAAACAAGATGAAAATGTAAAATTTGAAATCAGAGTACCTAATTATACCTACATAGGGGTTGGAAATGCAAAAACTGAAGAAACTGCTCGCCAAAATGCGTTAAAAGATATCTTATTATATTTAGCTGATAAAAATGAAATACCAGCTATTTCAAAGGTAATAAAAATGATAATTTTTTATTCGTAATATTAAATGAGTTTGTTGATTTACTTTATTAACAAGTTATATTTGTTTAATTAGAAAAAAAAAAAACAAAAAACTGAAGACTCTAAACTAGATTCAACTAAAAATGAAAAGGTAAGTTAATATAAGAATATAAATATTAGGTAGTTATACCTTGTAATAACCTAGATGATAGTATTGTCTATTTTTGCTAAGACAAAGGCATAGATATAAGAATTAAACATAGTTTTAATTCCAAAATATTTTTCTTCATAGCAAAATAGTTTAGAACCGTTTGTAAGTGGTAATTGGACAATTGATACTGCTTATATGAGATTACAACAATACATTAAATCTAATGATAAAGCAAATTTTAAGACAGATATTGCAATTTTTGGAAGGTAAATTTACTTGTGGTTAATTTTTTAAAAATTATATTCTTTCTTAAAAGAGAACAATCAGTTGACTGACCAATTTACATAAGTGCTGCGCATCTTGTACGAACTTCATGGCGTTATTGTTACCATGTTGTTCTAGACTCGCCTATCTTATTATTCACGAGGCACAAAAAGCGATTGCACTCTTTTGAGACAGAGTATTATATTATGCTGTTGCTGTTTTATCAAATATTAATTTGTTTTAGGAGTTTTGTTGTTAGAATGTCAATATTTATTGAACAACTAAATAAAAGTAAAATAAACAATTTAAATGTACTTAAGTTCCATTGTATTATCAAATAATTTTTTAATTTAGCAATTTCTACTCGTGAAACTGGAAAATCAAAGAAAAAAGTAATGCAACAATGCGAACTTACTTTAGTCAATAATCTATGTTCATTAGGTCTAATTGAACGTTACTCAAGTGATAAAATGAAAAAAGAACTAAATTTTATCCATAATTTGTCGAATGTTGTCAATGTTAATGAAAAACTGGTGAAAGATTTATATGGTTTATTAAAAGATCTTAATATTAAGCCAATGATTGATGAGGTAATAATTATTACATTTTAATTTTATTTAAATTTAATGTATTTTGTAATGTTTGTTCATCAACAATAATTATGTTAGAATAATGCTGGCGTTTCAAATAGTACAACATTGCTTCTTGACAAAGTTATTGAACCATTTGCACCAATAAATCAATTTAATGCTTCTAAAGTGATACGATGGGGCCCTCCCCAGTCAAATTGGAATCCATGGAGAGCTGTTAAGATTTATAATCCGGTAAGTTCTGTTAATTCCGCTATTTTGTCGTGGTAGTTTTTATATTTACTGAGAAGCATACTTATATTTGTTTTAACACGGTATTTAGTTTCCAAATTATTTCCTATTAATTATTTTATTTATAGAAATCTTTGTCTGATATAAGTTCTAAGATGAAGAGAGAATTTGATGAGAAAAGACAACATTCACTTACATTTCAAAAAAGATTAAAAGACCGATCTAGTTTGCCAATATTCCAAAAAAAGGATGCTATTCTGGATATAATTAGAAACAATTCTGTAATTATTGTACATGGAGGCACTGGTTGTGGAAAAACCACTCAAGTCAGTCAACTTGACGTCTTGTATTATTAATATCTCTTTTTCACATAATTGTTAAAACAAGTAGGTTTGTCAATTTATACTTGAAGAGTTTATTGACGAAAATAAAGGAGCAAATTGTAACATAATCTGCACTCAACCAAGAAAGGTATCAGCAATCTCTATTGCGAACCGAGTGAGTTTTGAAAGGGCTGAAGCTGTTGGGAAAAGTGTTGGGTATACAGTTAGATTTGATAGTGTGATACCACAGACTTTTGGAGGGATTCTATTTTGTACAACTGGTAATTGTTATAAATTGTATTACATAATTTAAGCTTGAGTCCAAAACGAAATATGCTTAAGTACTTATGCAATTTTATTTTAATTTTACATTTTTCAAACTGTTAAAAAAGAAAAACTTCCTACAAAATACAAATATAATATGTATTTCAAGCATAAATAAAAAATGTGGAGTGTCACAATCCTTTAGGTGGCTGGAGCAGGTACTAATAATCACGTAGAACCGTCTAGAACAGCGGTTCTCAAGCTTTATTTTTTTGCGTACCAATTATGTCTATTTCAATGTGATCATGTTGAAACACAATTTTAAATATTCATTTATTCACTTTTTATTCTATCACTTTGTGGCCTTTCGCGCACCAACATGTAGTCTTCTGCTTACCATAGTTTGAGAACCTTTGGTCTAGAACCTAGGCATAACTGTGGGACTTGGCTTAACAGATTTTAATTTTGAAAACTAATTAAAAATCTTCAACAAATATACTAAAGCATGGCAGTGGAAATTTATCATTATTACAAAAATTAATGGCTAAAATCCTCTCGTCCATTTCATAACTAACACAATGACTAATAAATATCTATTTAAAACATTTAAATCAATCTTATCCAAGTCTTACAATTTTGTCTAGCTTTTTGGCATTTGATTATTTGAATATCATGGTGTATATTTGATAAAATCTGAATCATTGACATGTGCCTGCACTTGTAGAAATGTTTAGGCGAGCGGTGAGCCATTGGTGGCTGGTACTCTATAACAAATTACAGTAACAGCACAAATATAATTGCCTAAATATTTCTCCTTAAAACATGTCACGCTCCAGTCCCCTTCAGTGAATTTGTTTCTCGTCAATTTTCAAATATGTGTATTATCATAAAATT